ATTTCGGGCAATTAAGTCAGTTTTGTCCCAGGATCCGACCCACACAAGTCGACTAACACCCAGGTACCCCATTTTACTGATGGGTGAACATAGACAACCGGTGTTAAGAAACACGCCCAATGTTTCTACCCTCGCTGGGAATCGAACCCATACGCTCGCCGTGTGAAGAGAGAGCTTTAGCCTCCAGGCCATGGGGCACCATAACATGAGGCCTTTTATTAGTATTTTTGAGATATATTGCAATTGTTTAGTAAGTGAGAACATAACTCTACACCTGCTGCAGTGGAACAATACTGGACACAGTGGAACACTGTACACTGTAGGACACCACCTGACACACTGGAACAACACTTGACACAATGAAACACCGTATGCAGTGGGGCATTGTACACAGTGGAACACCGTACACAGTGGGACACCATACGCAGTAGAAGACCACTTCTCTACACCTGCCACTGTGGAGAGAGATAAGAAAGCATGGTGTGGTATCTCCCTGGCTCCTTGTGTTCCTTCCTCGCAGTGTAAACACACGCCCTGGCCGATGCCAGTGTTTGCTTAATTTTATGTTGTGTGCGTGTGTGTATATATGTGTGTGCGTGCGTGCGTGTGTGTGTGTGAGTGTACTCACCTAGTTGAGGTTGCGGGGGTCGAGTCCGAGCTCCTGGCCCCGCCTCTTCACTGATCGCTATTAGGTCACTCTCCCTGAGCCGTGAGCTTTATCGTACCTCTGCTTAAAGCTATGTATGGATTCTGCCTCCACTACATCGCTTCCCAAACTATTCCACTTACTGACTACTCTGTGGCTGAAGAAATACTTCCTAACATCCCTGTGATTCATCTGTGTCTTCAACTTCCAACTGTGTCCCCTTGTTACTGTGTCCAATCTCTGGAACATCCTGTCTTTGTCCACCTTGTCAATTCCTCTCAGTATTTTGTATGTCGTTATCATGTCCCCCCTATCTCTCCTGTTCTCCAGTGTCGTCAGGTTGATTTCCCTTAACCTCTCCTCGTAGGACATACCTCTTAGCTCTGGGACTAGTCTTGTTGCAAACCTTTGCACTTTCTCTAGTTTCTTTACGTGCTTGGCTAGGTGTGGGTTCCAAACTGGTGCCGCATACTCCAATATGGGCCTAACGTACACGGTGTACAGGGTCCTGAATGACTCCTTATTAAGATGTCGGAATGCTGTTCTGAGGTTTGCTAGGCGCCCATATGCTGCAGCAGTTATTTGGTTGATGTGCGCTTCAGGAGATGTGCCTGGTGTTATACTCACCCCAAGATCTTTTTCCTTGAATGAGGTTTGTAGTCTCTGGCCCCCTAGACTGTACTCCGTCTGCGGTATTCTTTGCCCTTCCCCAATCTTCATGACTTTGCACTTGGTGGGATTGAACTCCAGGAGCCAATTGCTGGACTATGTCTGCAGCCTGTCCAGATTCCTTTGTAGTTCTGCCTGGTCTTCGATCGAGTGAATTCTTCTCATCAACTTCACGTCATCTGCAAACAGGGACACTTCCGAGTCTATTCCTTCCGTCATGTCGTTCACAAATACCAGAAACAGCACTGGTCCTAGGACTGACCACTGTGGGACCCCGCTGGTCACAGGTGCCCACTCTGACACCTCGCCACGTACCATGACTCGCTGCTGTCTTCCTGACAAGTATTCCCTGATCCATAGTGTGTGTGTGTGTGCGTGCGTGCGTGCGTGCGTGCGTGTGTGTGTGTGTGTGTGTGTGTGTGTGTGTGTGTGTGTGTGTGTGTGTGTGTGTGTGTGTGTGTGTGTGTGTGTGTGTACTCACCTAATTGTACTCACCTAATTGTGGTTGCAAGGGTCGAGACTCAGCTCCTGGCCCCGCCTCTTCACTGATCGCTACTGGGTCCTCTCTCTCTCTGCTTCCTGAGCTGCATCATACCTCTTCTTAAAACTATGTATGGTTCCTGCCTCCACTACTTCACTTGCTAGGCTATTCCACTTGCTGACAACTCTATGACTGAAGAAATACTTCCTAACGTCCCTGTGACTCGTCTGAGTCTTCAGCTTCCAGTTGTGACCACTTGTCTCTGTGTCCCCTCTCTGGAACATCCTATCTCTGTCCACCTTGTCTATTCCCCGCAGTATCTTGTATGTCGTTATCATGTCTCCCCTGACCCTTCTGTCCTCCAGTGTCGTCAGTCCGATTTCCCTCAACCTTTCCTCGTACGACATTCCCCTGAGCTCTGGGACTAGCCTTGTTGCAAACCTTTGTACTTTCTCTAACTTCTTGACGTGCTTGACCAGGTGTGGGTTCCAGACTGGTGCTGCATACTCCAGTATGGACCTAACATACACAGTGTACAGTGTCTTGAACGATTCCTTATTAAGGTATCGGAAGGCTATTCTCAGGTTTGCCAGGCGCCCGTATGCTGCAGCAGTTATTTGGTTGATGTGTGCCTCCGGTGATGTGCTCGGTGTTATGGTCACCCCAAGGCCTTTCTCCCTGTATGTGTGTGTGTGTGTGTGTGTGTGTGTGTGTGTGTGTGTGTGTGTGTGTGTGTGTGTGTGTGTGTGTGTGTGTGTCTGTGTGTGTCTGTGTGTGTCTGTGTGTGTATCTGTGTGTGTACTCACCTAATTGTGGTTGCAGGGGTCGATTCACAGCTCCTGGCCCCGCCTCTTCACATATCGCCATTGAACATTATCATACCTCTTTTTAAAGCTGTGTATGATAACTGCCTTCACTACCTCACTTTCCAGACTATTTCACTTCCTGACAACTCTGTGGCTGAAGAAATACTTCCTAACATCCCTGTGACTCATCTGAGTCTTCAACTTCCAATTGTGACCCCTGTTGGTGTGTCCCAATCTCTGGAACATCCTGTCTCTGTCCACCTTGTCGATTCCTCTCAATATTTTATACGTCGTTATCATGTCCCCCTGTCTCTCCTATCCTCCAGTGTCATCAGGTCGAATTCTCTTAACCTCTCCTCGTAGGACATGTCCCTTAGCTCCGGGACTAGTCTCGTTGCAAAACTTTGCACTTTCTCTAGTTTCCTTACGTGCTTTGCCAGGTGAGGGTTCCAAACTGGAGCTGCATATTCCAATATTTGCCTGACGTACACGGTGTACAGTGTCTAGAACGACTCCTTACTGAGGTGTCGGAATGCTATTTTTAGGTTCGTTTGTCGCCCATGTGCTGCAACAGTTATTTGGTTGATGTGTGCCTCGGGAGATGTGCTCGGTATTATGCACACTCCAAGATCCTTTTTCTTGAGTGATGTTTGTAGTCTTTGGCCTCCCTAGACCGTACTCTGTATGCTGTCTTCTTTGCCATTCCCCAATCTTCATGACTTTGTACTTGGTGCTGGTGGATCATTACATACCTTCATTTACACCCTTCTAACTAATGAAATAGAGGGAAAAAAAGACCCTCATTTTCAACCGGCGTCGCCGAACCTTCCAGAACATTCAGGAAATACTCTGTGTCAGTAAATATGCCTTTGAATTTTTCTTATTCAGGCTTCCTTTCTCTTAATGACTAGGCTATTCTTAATTGTAATGCCATCCTGAGAAGTGTGCAGTACTTGAGCTGAAGATTTTCACACCCTTTGGCTTGTCTTGCATTGCTAAGATCACCTGTCTGCGATAGTTTTGTATATATATATATATATATATATATATATATATATATATATATATATATATATTATATATATATATATATAATATATATATATATATATATACATATATATACAAACAAACATTGTCTCTACGTCCACAGCAGGACACGAACCTGCAAACTCTGTATCGGAGTCCACCGTACTTTCCCCTGAAACTAGACCTCAGGTTAGAGTCCTGCTGTGGGCTCAGAAACAATGTTTGTAAATATTTTCGCCTGTTTGCGAATTGTTAAGCATATATACTGCATATATGCATATATACTGTCTGTTTATCAATTCAAGACTCTTCTTAAAAACCACTTACTCACGAACAACTAAATAAATACTGAATAACTGAATCTCATAAATGTATAACCCGTTACCCTATCAAACTATGTTTTTTTTAAGCACATTAACTAATATAATACTCCATTCTCTTGACTGTACAGTAACTCATCTAATGACCATATGACCTTAAGACACTCCCCACTGGGGGAGTCAATGCAAGATAGAAGAAGTTACCCTCCAACCGGAGGACCCAAGAGAGAAGATAGAAGAATGAAGAAGACGAACGACACCCCCGCCCCGGGGGCCACCGCCGGGTCACCATCTAGAGAAGACCCGGGACGGAAGTACCGGCAAATCTATAATGAATGAATGACCATATGACCTGTTTCTGCACTACAGATCATTGATTTTACTCGATCTGATTCGATTATATTATACATTGTTATGCTACAAATTTGTACAACATTAATGCTTCTTATTTGAAATACTCATTTGTACTTCAAGTTGTAATTTGTTTACTATAATATTTACCACTGAAAATATCATTGCTTAGTTAATCTTAAGTTAATTTTAAGCTGCCCATAATGCTCTGTATACAAGGTGCTTCTGGCATGTACACCCAAGCACTATATTTCTTTGTACAACTATCATGTCCAAATAAAAAACAAGAATATATATATATATATATAATATATTATATATATATAATATATATATATATATATATATATAATATATATATACATACATACATACCTTTGGGTTATTTCATCTGACTTTTTTTTTGTTTACCTGTTTTTTAGTTAATGTTTTTGCTTTAGTAAAAACAGCATATTTTTATTCAGTGTCTTACATTATAACATTCCATTCAACAATTTTTATTGTTGATCGTAAATGGTTGTACTTTATCTTTCGAATTTAATTTACAATTCACAAAATATGAAGACTAGACAGATGTACATTAATATAAATAATGCAAAGATGTGTATTAACAATGTATTGTAAATAGTACACACATGAACATTCGCCAACCAGAATGTATATGCAGGATTCTCACATTCTACTTTCTCTCTCTGCAGATGCAAGAGAGTCGAAGTACAAGAAATGAACTACGAAGCAGTATGAGCATTGAGTGGAAGTACAAGGAATGAACTACTAGGTAGTGTGAGCAGCATAACATTCCACCAGTTCCCCGGTCAGACAGTCATTTGCTTTCCTCTCTTATATGTGAAGAAATAACAGGTGGCGTTACAATGTGGGTCAGCCCCCCACAGTTTAATGGTGACTTAGTTCATGAACCATCCTTTACACAATACCTATCATGAATACAACTGTATTATTAGTGACGGTGTGAGTGTAGCGTGAGATACAGTGAGAGACAAACAACCAGTCCACTACCACTACAATAATCGTCTCATGATGGAGGCGTGTTGAAAGATATAGTGAGACGATAAACTAACCATTGCAATACTACTGTAACCACCACCTTCAAAACTATTATCACCGTATAATGAAGGTGCAGTGACACAGTGAGACGAGAGAGAGAGACCACTATCACCACTGCTATCACCATCACCATTAACCCATGATGGAGTTTGGATTAGACGCCACCACACTTCAGCTGTGTGCTCAGGCCAGGTAATCTCTCTCTTGATTCACATATCTTGTCTCCTTTTTTTTCCCAAAAATTAGTTGTCATAATTTATGAAATGACCTTCGCGCGTGCTTGCTTGCGTGCTTGCGTGCGTGCGTGTATGTGTGTGTGTGTGTGTGTGTGTGTGTGTGTGTGTGTGTGTGTGTGTGTGTGTGTGTGTGTGCGTGCGTGCGTGTGTGTGTGTGTGTGTGTGTGTGTGTGTGTGTGTGTGTATGTGTGTGTACGTGTGCGTGTACGTACTCACCTAATTGTGGTTGCAGGGTTCGAGACTCAGCTCCTGGCCCCGCCTCTTCACTGAGTGCTGCTAGGTCCTCTCTCTCCCTGCTCCATGAGCTTTATCATACCTCATCTTAAAGCTATGTATGGTTCCTGCCTCCACTACCTCACTTGCTAGGCTATTCCACTTCCTGACTACTCTGTGACTGAAGAAATACTTCCTAACATCCCTTTGACTCATCTGAGTCTTCAACTTCCAATTGTGACTCCTTGTTTCTGTGTCCCCTCTCTGGAACATCCTGTCTCTGTCCACCTTGTCTATTCCACGCAGTATTTTGTATGTTGTTATCATGTCTCCCCTAACCCTCCTGTTATCCAGTGTCGTCAGGCCGATTTCCCTTAACCTTTCTTCGTAGGGCATTCCCCTTACCTCTGGAACTAACCTTGTTGCAAACCTTTGCACTTTCTCTAATTTCTTGACGTGCTTGATCAAGTGTGCGTTCCAAACAGGTGCTGCATACTCAAATATGAGCCTGACGTACACGGTGTTGAACGATTCCTTACTAAGGTATCGGAACGCTGTTCTCAGGTTTGCCAGGCGCCCATATGCTGCAGCAGTTATCTGGTTGATGTGTGCTTCCGGAGACGTGCTCGGTGTTATACTCACCCCAAGATCTTTCTCCTTGAGCGAGGTTTGCAGTCTTTGGCCACCTAGCCTATACTCCGTCTGCGGTCTTCTTTTCCCTTCCCCGATCTTCATGATTTTGCATTTGGTGGGGTTAAATTCGAGAAGCCAATTGCTGGACCAGGTGTCCAGCCTGTCCAGGTCTCTTTGAAGTCCTACCTGATCCTCATCTGATTTAATTCTTCTCATTAACTTCACATCATCTGCGAACAGAGACACTTCTGAGTATAACCCTACCATCATGTTCACATATACCAGAAATAGCACTGGTCCTAGGGCCGACCCCTGTGGGACCCCGCTCGTCACAGGTGCCCACTGTGATACCTCATCCCGTATCATGACTCGTTGTTGCCTCCCTGTCAGGTATTCTCTGATCCATTGCAGTACCCTTCCTGTTATACGCGCCTGAACCTCTAGCTTCTGCACCAATCTCCTATGAGGAACTGTGTGGAAGGCCTTCTTGCAGTCCAAGAAGATGCAATCAACCCACCCTTCTCTCTCGTGTCTTCTGTTACTTTATCATAAAACTCCAGTAGGTTTGTGACACAGGATTTGTCTTCCATAAATCCGTGCTGGTTGGCGTTTATACTCTTGTTGTTCCAGGTGTTCCACCACTCTCCTGTGCGCGCGCGCGAGTGTGTGTGTGTACTCACCTAATTGTGGTTACAGGGGTCGATTCACAGCTCCTGGCCCCGCCTCTTCGCTGGCCGCTACTAGGTCACTCTTTCCGCTCCTTGAAGTTTATCATACCTCTTCTTAAAGCTATGTATGGATCCTGCCTCCACTACATCGTTTCCCAGACTATATTCCACTTCCCGACAACTGTCTGACTGAAGAAATACTTTCTAACATCCCTGTGATTCATCTGAGTCTTCGACTTCCAACTTGTTGCTGTGTCCCATCTCTGGAACATCCTGTCTCTGTCCACCTTGTCGATCCTCTCAGTATTTTGTATGATGTTATCATAGCCCCCCCCCTATCTCTCCTGTCCTCCAGTGGTGTCAGGTCGATTTCTCTTAACCTCTCCTCGTAGGACATACCCCTTAGCTCTGGGATGAGTCTAGTTGCAAACCTTTGCACTTTCTCTAGTTTCCTTACATGCTTGGCTAGGTGTGGGTTCCAAACTGGTGCTGTATATTCCAATTTGGGCCTAACGTACACAGTGTACAGGGTCCTGAACGAATCCTTATTAAGATGTCGGAATGATGTTCTTAAGTTTGCTAGGCGCCGGTAAGCTGCTGCAATTATTTGGTTGATGTGAGCCTCAGGAGATGTGCCTGGTGTTATACTCACCCCAAGATCCTTTTCCTTGAGTGAGGTTTGTAGTCTCTGGCCCCCTAGACTGTATTCCGTCTGCTGTCTTCTTTGCTCTTCCCCAATCTTCATGACTTTGCACTTGGTGGGACTGAACTCCTGGAGCCAGTTGCTGGACCAGTCCTGCAGCCTGTCCAGATCCCTTTGTAGTTCTGCCTGGTCCCCGTCCGATTGAATTCTTCTCTTCAGCTTCACATCATCTGCAAACAGCTACACTTCGAGTCTATTCCTTCTGCCCTGTCATTCACAAATACTAGGACTGACCCCTGTGGAACCCCGCTCGTCACAGGTGCCACTCTGACGCCTCTCCACGTACCATGGCCCGCTGTTGTCTTCCTGACAGGTATTCCCTGATCCATTGTATTGCCTTCCCTATTATCCCTGCCTGGTCCTCCAGCTTTTGCACTAATCTCTTGTGTAAAAACTGTCTCTAACACCTTCTTACAGTCCAGGAAAATACAATCTACCCACCCGTCTCTCTCTCTTGTTTCACTTCTGTCACCCTGTCATAGAACTCCAGTAGATTTGTAACACAGGATTTCCCGTCCCTGAAACCGTGCTGGCTGTCGTTAAGCTCATTCCTTTCTAGGTGCTCCACCACTCTTCTCCTGATAATCTTCTTCATGATTTTGCATACTATACATGTCAGTGACACTGGTCAGTAGTTTAGTGCTTCGTGTCTGTCTCCTTTTTTGAAAAGTGGGACTACATTTGCTGTTTTCCATACCTCAGGTAGTCGCCCTTTCTCGATAGATGTGTTGAAGATTGTTGTTAATGATACACACAGCGCCTTTGCTCCCACTCTCAGGACCCATGGAGAGATGTTATCGGGCCCCATCGCCTTTGAGGTATCTAAATCGCTAAGCGGCCTGTTCACTTGTTCCTCGGTTGTATGTACTGTGTCCAACACTTGATGTGTGTGTGTGTGTGTGTACTCACCTATTTGTACTCACCTATTTGTGGTTGCAGGGGTCGAGTCCTAGCTCCTGGCCCCGCCTCTTCACCGGTTGCTACTAGGCCCTCTCTCTCCCCGCTCCATGAGCTTTATCAAACCTCGTCTTAAAACTGTGTATGGTTCCTGCCTCCACTACGTCATTTTCTAGGCTATTCCACTGCCTTACAACTCTATGACTGAAGAAATACTTCCTACTATCTCTCTGACTCATTTGTGTCTTCAACTTCCAATTGTGGCCTCTTGTTTCTGTGTCCCCTCCCTGGAACATCCTGTCCTTGTCCACCTTGTCTATTCCACGCAGTATTTTATTTTGTCGTTATCATGTCTCCCCTGACCCTCCTGTCCTCCAGTGCCCGTCAGGCCGATTTCCCTTAATCTTTCTTCATAGGACATTCCCCTTAGCTCTGGAACTAACCTTGTTGCAAACCTTTTTTAACTTTCTCTAGTTTCTTGACCTGCTTTATCAAGTGCGGGTTCCAAACGGGTGCTGCATACTCCAGTAGGGGCCTGACATACAGGGTGTACAGTGTCTTGAATGTGTGGGGTTTGGTGTGTGTGTGTGTGTGTGTGTGTGTGTGGTGTTGTGTGTGTGTGTGTGTGTGTGTGTGTTGTGTGTGTGTGTGTGTGTTTACTCACCTAGTTGAGGTTGCGGGGGTCGAGTCCAAGCTCCTGGCCCCGCCTCTTCACGGTTGCTTCACTGTGTGTGTGTGGGTGTGTGTGTGTGTGTGGTGTGTGTGTGTGTGTGTGTGTGTGTGGTGTGTGTGTGTGTGTGTGTGTGTGTATGTTAGACTACTGTTGCCAGCTGAGTGGTGTTAGACTACTGTTGCCAGCTGAGTGGTGTTAGACTACTGTTGCCAGCTGAGTGGTGTTAGACTACTGTTGCCAGCTGAGTGGTGTTAGACTACTGTTGCCATCTCAGTGGTGTTAGACTACTGTTGCCATCTCAGTGGTGTTAGACTACTGTTGCCAGCTGAGTGGTGTTAGACTACTGTTGCCAGCTGAGTGGTGTTACACTACTGTTGCCAGCTGAGTGGTGTTAGAATACTGTTACCAGCTGAGAGGTGTTACACTACTGTTGCCAGCTGAGTGGTGTTACACTACTTTTTGCCAGTGAGTGGTGTTAGAATACTGTTACCAGCTGAGAGGTGTTACACTACTGTTGCCAGCTGAGTGGTGTTAGAATACTGTTACCAGCTGAGTGGTGTTAGAATACTGTTACCAGCTGAGTGGTGTTAGACTACTGTTGCCAGCTGAGTGGTGTTAGACTACTGTTGCCAGCTGAGTGGTGTTACATTACTGTTGCCAGCTGAGTGGTGTTACATTACTGTTGCCAGCTGAGTGGTGTTAGACTACTGTTGCCAGCTGAGTGGTGTTACACTTCTGTTGCCAGCTGAGTGGTGTTTGACTACTGTTGCCAGCTCAGTGGTGTTAGACTACTGTTGTCATTTCAGTGGTGTTAGACTACTGTTGCCAGCTGAGTGGTGTTAGACTACTGTTGCCAGCTGAGTGGTGTTAGACTACTGTTGCCATCTCAGTGGTGTTAGACTACTGTTGCCATCTCAGTGGTGTTAGACTACTGTTGCCATCTCAGTGGTGTTAGACTACTGTTGCCAGCTCTGTGGCGTTAGACTCTTGTTGCCATCTCAGTGGTGTTAGACTACTGTTGCCAGCTCAGTTGTGTTAGACTACTGTTGCCATCTCAGTGGTGTTAGACTACTGTTGGCAGCTCAGTGGTGTTAGACTACTGTTGTCATCTCAGTGGTGTTAGACTACTGTTGCCAGCTCAGTGGTGTTAGACTACTGTTGCTATCTCA